TCTTCCTCTATAATAAAAGATAAAAGAATCCAGAAATGGAGGAGAAAAAAAACAAAAGGAGAAGTCCCAAGTCATCCATGACTCACGTCAGTCAGGTTCACAACAATAAGAAAAACACTGTGCCTTCTAGCAAAAATATAGCATTTGCTAATTCAGCATCCCAGGTTCATTTACAAAGACCAAAGCTTAAAAGGTAAGGTTTTATATGGAATGTGCTACAGGCAATCAAGGCTGGCTAAATTTGAGGCTGTAAAATTTTCAGGCAGGGACACATTAAGGGATAAAGAATACCTGGTCCACAAAACCATCTAGCTTGCCATGCTAAGCCATCTGTGGCATCCCCTTTTTTGAAGCTTTCCCCCCAGGAGCTACTCGGTATGATGTTTCCCATCCCTCTGATTTGGGCAGGATTGTGGGTCAGACAAACTCAAGCTTCAGGATGCTGGCCCCTTTTGAAATCATCCAAACTCCATTTATGAGTTTTATCAATAGAGACAGTATTTGGTTCCAAACTAATTTTGGTTCTATGTGATAGATTAATGAAACATCATACGAACACACATATTCTTCTTCTTTAACTAAATGGGAGTTTTGTATTTTTAAAATGGAGTGTGATCTTTTATTAGTCGCAAAAATGGTGCATAACACAAAATAAATTACTTATTTCTTCCTGTCAGTACAATATTTCGATACAAATTTCCATAAGCTCAAGAGCTTCAGGGAGCTTTGCGTGCCATCTCAAGTGGCTGAGGCAAGGAACATGATTTTTAAAGTTTTTCAAGGTTTTAAGGGGGATAAAATATACCCACAAAAAAAAGAAGAATAAAGAAGAATAAAGAAGCAATAGTGAACATTTCTTGCCAACCCTGTAACCCAATAGAAGAGAATATCTGCAGCTAAGAGTTGAACAGTGAAGTCTTTGGTGCTGTCTGAGCTAGTTGTTTGCTTGCAGATGTTTCATTACCCAACTAGATGACATCATCAGTGTGAGTAAGTGTGGGGTTTGTTTTCATACAGCAGCTTGCCCTGCCAGTTTTGGTGGGGATGTAGTTTTCTCTTAATAAAAGAACTACCAAGAAGAATGTAATGAAATGTCTGCAAGCAAACAGCCGAGCTTTGAGAGTCCAGGGATTTCACATCCCTATAATTTGAAACAATTGAGAAGGTTCATCTTCAGGGATTTTCTAATTCCCAGATGCTACAGTTTTCCAGATTTTTTTCAAAAAGTGTGAAAAGCAAAGTGGAACAATACCTTCAAAGGAAAAATAAAGATATCAAGACATCATGTGGCATTGCTAGAGCTTCCAAAGATGGATGCCATAGAAGTAGAATTTGAAAAGATTTTCAGGCAATGAAACTTGTTAGTTACAATAATATTTTTTTTAAAACCCTGATGACTTTAATTGTGTTCAAGTAAACTTTGCTCTTAGTCTTTCACGAAACCCAATCAAAACAACACTGTTTGAAAAAATAATGCTGCTCTGGCAGTCATTTCAGGAAATGGATGAGAAAATTCCACAAAATAATTGAGGCAGAGAATAGAAGCAGCACGCCATTAACATTTTATACTCTATTCTGTTTGTTTGTTTGTTTGTCATTTCTATATCTGACTTCAAGTTTCGCAGAGCTACTTGCTTCTGGTTAAGGGAACTGGGTAAAGAAAAACTAACTACAGAGCAATTCAAATATGACCTGAGAAATATCCCAGCTGCTCTGTTGACTGTTTCCTTTTTAGACTTGGCAAGGAATGTTTTGGTCAGAAAATGGAACAGGACATGTCTGGATAAGAGAGATCGCATCCTTTGGTGAGGTCCTGAAATGTCTCCGTTCTAGAACAAATGCATTGCCATTTCTAGGTCTAATGAACATTGCAGAATGAAGGCAGCAGTGCAAGTTCTGATAATTATTTGAGCCAAGGAACATTTCCCATAAATTTTCTTCCTTTTTCTTCTTAATACTCAAGAACGGAACAATGTGTTCCGTCCTGGATTTGAAGTGGTTGTACAGTGTTCTGTAAATAAAAGTATTTCTGAATGTAAACTGAGAACACAGTCAAAGAAACTATTTCCAAAGATGAGTTCTTGGCTGCTAAAGCTATATTAAAGGTGTACATGTGAATTCCTGTACATTCCACTCTTAAATGGGCTTATATTTCTCTTTCAGAAATAGTAATATTCAATGCAAGCCCACTTTTTTCTTTTGAAGGTCATAGTAACTTTGATAGCAAGTGAGATAGTTACTTTGCTACTCAGAGTTACCTCAAACTGTGATATAAGTGGCATATAAATTTGATAAATACATCCAGGGATACATCCAAGGCTTTGATAGCAAATATCCAGGCATGTTTGGAATCTCCTGCTCAATGGATAAAGTACAGTTGCAAAACAATCAAAATGACAGGTTCTACTTAAATACAGCATAGCTCAGTTTGTCCAAAACATAAGAAAGTGAAAAAGCAAGTTCTTCATGAGATTCCTAATGATTCTGCTACTCCTACTATCTACTGATCAGATAGTAGGTCACACTGGTCAAGATAAGGTGGCGCCTGTACATTAAATCTCTTCCTAAATTATTTTCTCAAGAGGTAAGCCTAAACATGAGGCCAGAAGGTATTACAGGAAGTCAGCCGTCTCACTAAAAGCTGAATCTTCCTGTACAATAAAAGAAGGTTAAAAATGGAGGGTCCTAGATATTGTAACAAGGCTTGCATGTTCTGACAAACATTGAATTTCTGAAAAGGGCCAATACTTCAGCCATAATAACCATTTTCCTTTTTAGCTGGGAGGCTTATTTCATTAATTACTCAGTACAAGAAGAGTAAAGAACAAACAAGAACAGTTGATTGGAACTGAAAGGTACCAGATTGGTTCTTTCAGCTTTTAAGGGCAAAGTGTGGAATTAGTATGCTGTAATTGATGTGGCCTAGGGAATGGTAAAGGAGTATATGATGCAGTCTTTTTTGGAAAATCGGAACAAAACTAATTCCTATCATGATTTGTCCAAATGAGACACCACAATAGGATAACTTCACTTCACTATTTCAATTGCTCCATACCAATTAAAAGAAAATGAGGCTTGAAAACTTTCCTAAGCTATTTAAGCAGTTTTCCATTAGCCGCCTTATTAAGGAAGGCAAAATCTATTGACAGTAGATTTTGATAGATACATTTGATAGATATATTTCCTCATTAGTAGCTTTAGAAATTAATCCTATGAATCATAACCCCAGTTCCTATAATGATTTGTTATTGTATATGTTTGGGAGAGAAGGGGTTAAGTTCTTCCTTCAGAACATTTGTTGAGGTGGCAACAAATGTTGCCAAAGTAGCAAGCAGCTTGAAGGAACTAAATGACAACTTTTCTGTTTTTCTCAGAGGTGTGAAAGAGAAAGCCAAAACACCAGGAGTGGAAAACAAAGGATCCCAGTCAGCTCCAATCCAGCATTCATTTCTCACAGATGTATCAGATGTCCAAGAAATGGAAAAAGGACTTCTGAGTCTCCTGAATGACTTCCATTCTGGAAAACTGCAAGCATTTGGTATTTTTATTCTGACTGTTCCCCTAGATAAATTACGTGTTGAAATGCTCATGTGTTCACTGTTGAAAAAGTGGGACATTGAAAGCATAACTGAAAGCATGATTCACTGAATGATTCACCGAACTCATACAAATTGGGAAATGTTTCATTAAACTTATTTTTTCAAGGCAGAACAAGTTGCTTAGATCAAGGTACTGTTGCTATTATGGTACTACGTAACAGGTTTATGTAACAGTTTTCTACTGTGGTGAGTACTCAAGATAATTTAAAAAGTTTTCAAAAGATAAAAATCAATACTAAAATAGACAGTACTGTTATTTAACAATTCTGAGCCATGTTTTGTATTCCATTTTTAATATATTTGCTATCCGAACCCCTTTTTCAGGATTAATTTTTTTAAAGGAGTAGTAGAGTTGTAAGACAAGGAGATTTTAAAAAATAAGTTAACATTCAGAGTAAATTGTCCACAGTGGCTGTGTGGCTTCACCTGTTAAGACTAGAAAGTAGGGTATGTACCATATATATTTCAGCATACTACGCTCACAGGCCTACGTTCTCGCTAGCTGTGTAAATGATCATAATACATAGATTAGCTGCTCAGAGTCTCCTGACCCCAAGATGGTCAAATTTTGATAAATAAAATAAATTATGTTATCCTCCCATTGAGAGATATATTTTATTTGCTACATATCCCAACATGGGGAGAACAGTCTGAGTCTTGCCCATCAGTTATGAATTATAGCTAGATATTTGAATTTTTACATTATTTTTTGTCTTTGATTTTTTTTTCAGAAATGTTGGGAAAGCTGAAACAAATTGGAAGAAATAAAACAACTCCAGTGAAGTGTTTTCTTTAGAATAATGAGCACAGTGTGACAAAAAGCTGTTGTTTTATTTCTTCCAAATGTCTCTGGTTATGGTTGAGCAATGTGTAGAGGCATGCTTGTAGACTCTCTTGCAATTCATAAAATCAGATGTGTTTTTCTGGAATCATGCTGAAACTGGGGGGAGGTATTTGACCCTAGGAAAAGATACCACGGCTTTTAAAGAGTTGCAGAAAGCTGTCCTGTAAGCATGCTTGCACTGTCCAAAGCATCTTTTTGCCTTTGTTCACAGCCCTACTTTCTGTTGACTTGTAATAAGTGTTGACTTTTATCTAGGGCTACTGCAGAGTACTGCAATTCCTGTATGTGGAGGACAAGCAATGTAGTACAGTTCTCAAAGGCAACAGTGAGATGACTTTCTTGTTCCTAGGTGGCCATGACTGAGGAAGGAAGGAAGAAGAGTCAGGGCTTGATTTGCTGACTTTTTGTTTAAAATCTTAAGTAAGCTTCAAAGGATAGAAGAGACACCCAGAAATAAAATTACCGTGTTACTAAAGCAATGCTTCTCAAGCTTGGATAAATTACTCAGGCTCTTTGGATAATGACATACAAATCTATTACTGAATCACCTCAGGGACATTGAAGTTAAAAGTGTTTTACCTACAATGGGTAAAAGGGACCCTTCTGATAGGTGGCTTTGGGTAACGAAGGAAAACATTTTGGGGCAGTGGATTAAAGTATACTTTTCCATTTAATAAGCATACCAAGCTTGAGTAAAGTTATGCAGATTACATTGTATTTCTGAAAATAATAAAATGAACCTAAATTCACTAAGGGTATAAAAATGAATATGGTAAGACTTCACTATCAATGGTCTGTACCAGGGGTGGTATTCAGCCGATTCAGCCCGGTTCTGATGTACCGTTAGTGGAAATTTGGAATCCAACCACTGTTCTGTACTGCTGCACAGGTCTAAATGGGACTGCCTCTGAAAATCACCTGGAGCCTTCTGTTGATCCACTATATGACAGCCCAGGTGCTAGCTGTTACATGCTGACATGACACCTGTGCTCTGGGCCCTACAATGGCTCCTGTTGGTTTCTAAGTGCACTTCAAATGCTGGTTTTAACTTTTAAAGCCTTACATGGCTTAGCATGTAGGTACTTTCAGGACTACCTTCTCTAACTAGTCTTCACCTGTATGTTACCGTAGAACCTGCTGGTGGTCACTCACATCTGCAAAGTCAACAGGGTTGGAGACTCACAGGTTGCTTGTCCTTTGGTGTGCCTGCATTCTGGAAGAGTCTTTTCCTGGAAATTGTGTCAACCCCCACACTTCTGATTTTCTGTAAGCTATTAAAGTGGAGCTTTACAGAGAGCTTTTGAGATTTGAGATCGTGTCATAAACTTCCCTTAGGGTTGGCTGACTATTTGTAATTTATTTTCTTTCTCTTTTTTTATTGTGAATGTTTTATGATATTACATTGATGGAAGGAGTAAACTAACAAGATTCCTCTTGAATGTGGTGAGGTAAATCCAATAAATCATATTTATTCATCACCCCACAAAACCACTTTTTAAAAAATGCTATGTGGCTTCAAAGTCTCCAGAGATGCCACATCTTTAGCTTGTGATCGCCTAAAGAAACCAGAAAACCATCTGCAAGATTTATGGAAGGACAGGTTCAGGGAGAATTACTATGAAGAAGAACTAAATTATGGGGTTTTCAGATCTTCAAAGGGGAACATTGCTTCTATGCTGTTTCAAGCGAAGTACTCTTTTGAAGCTGGTTTGTGAAGTCATGTTGCCCTTCAGTTCTGAAGAGTAAAGCACTGGCGTGATGTTGCACTTTGATCATTTTCTTAAGCCTCCTGTCGCAGTTCTGATCTGTCTTATTAGCATGATGGAAAGTTAATACTTTTAATTATTATCAAATCTTTGGCTTAATGCTCTTTTGTACCTTTGTTTACTTCAGGAAATGAATGTTCTATTGAGCAAATGGAACATGTAAGAGAAATGCAAGAGAAGTTGGCCCGCTTGAACTTGGAGCTTTATGGAGAGTTGGAAGAACTCCCTGAAGATAAAAGAAAATTAGCTAGTGACTCTAATCTGGATAGATTGTTGTCAGATGTAAGTATAAACAGGGCGGTTATAATAGTGTCTTGCAAAGGGTTTGTTTCAAAGATGCTTTTTCAAATGGCAACTACCCTTTGTTACCCTTGAAGATGTTTTGCTTCTTCAGTTCTGTTTGTTTCAAACAATTTTGAGCACCAGATTTTTAAAGAGTGACCCATTTTAACAGCAAAACTGCCTCACAGTGCTCAGAGTGCTTTGCTTTCAACCCTGTACTTTTGTGAAATTTTATGTTGAAAATTGTTCAAAATGAAGCATTTTGCATATTCCTACTTGATGGCAGAGGTGCAAAAATTCCCCTGGCTTCAGGTCTGTTTGTTATCCTTCAAAAATATATGGCTTTGTTATTTTTGTAGAATTTGCATAATAACAAAATTACATTGTTCAAAGTATAACCTTTTCCTTCATAAGTGAGGGTGCACTAACAATGAGACATTTTCCCAATATTATACTATACCACCCTCTATTGATAAAGAAAAAACACTGCAGCCTTTCCTTTTTTTAAAACAGGAGAATACATTTTAAAAGGAAATTATTCGGCCTTTTGTCTCCTAACTCCTTCCTAAAACCCTATGAATACCATTAAATTTTCATAAATGTCAGCATTACAATCTCTGGAAGCAACAAAAGAGATATTGATAGGCTTCAAATATTTGTTTTGCATTCTGTCTTTGTGGTATCATTACATTTGCATTTGGAAATTTGGTAAAGGATGAAAGTTGAATCTAATGTGGATTGTAAGATTAGTTTCATGCTGTCACAACTGTTTGAATAACAAAAATTATTAAATTGGTGGGCCACTGTTGTTTCCCAAAGTAGAAGTCTCATGCAGAAAAGGCAAATTCAATTTATTTTTTTCTATCATTGATGAAAAACTGTTCTGGAGAGTTTGGAAACACTGCAGAACAGTGTGGGGACATTGCTGTGGGAAATTGACATCCAGTTCTTTCCCCAGTTGGCATTCCAGTAGATCTCAGTCTCTTTTCTAAATACAATTAAGCCTTACTGATAAATTATCTGGACAATTAATAAGTGCAACTTTTTATATTTCTTTCTACTGTAGCTGGAAGAACTGAATTCTTCTATGTATCCTTTTTGTGAAATGTCCAATTGTGACCAAATAGCTGTCTAAATGTAATAGCTCATTTAGGGTAAAATCCAGTCCATGTGATACAGCTGCATCTCAATCTAAGAACAGTTTGATCTGTTTTATCTTTTTAAGCCTGCAACCCAGAAACATTAAACATTTCTTCATGATTTACAAGCTATTTTAAATAGGCAACTCACATTTCCTCCCTTTTTGTTCCCTCCATTTCTTTTTACTTCCCTCTCTTTGTACTTCTCCAAATTTACCTGGTTACTTTAACTTCTGCTCAGTTTTTGAACAGAGCAATATTTCCTTATTGGTTTTAAATTGTTTCCTATTGTTTCCAGTAGTAATAGCAATAGCACTTAGACCTATATACCGCTTCACGGTGCTTTACAGCCCTCTCTAAGCCGTTTACAAAGTCAGCATATTGCCCCCAACAATCTGGGTCCGCATTTTCCTGACTTTGGGAAGATGGAAGCCTGAGTCAACCTTGAGCTGGTGAGAATTGGAACTGCTGACAGTTGGCACAATTAGCCTGCAATAACTCCATTCTAACCCTGTACAACCATGGTTCAATATAATAATAAAAATAGTAAAGTTATAGTAAATGCAGTAATATTAAATATAATAGTAAAAGGATAATACAGAATATTGGACCAAGGTTGTGGAGAAACCAATTGTCATACCCAGTGTGAAATTAAGGAACATAATTTCGATTTTGAATTTTTTAAAAAATGTTAGAGCAGTAGGAACTGGGTCTATAATGTGCATAATTTCCCCCTCCAGACCCCCGTGTGACATAGTCTAGTAGCAACTTGGTGTTGTGAAGAAGTTGAACTAAATCCATGGAGCCTCATGCTCAGGTCCACCTTCCACCACTGTAACCCCCTGAATGACTTTGGGTGATGTTTGCTCTCAGCTCAAGCTTACCCAGTTAGTTTTCTTTTGTTAGAAATTAAAGGTGGAAAGGCTTTCGTGTCTGCCACCAGCTCCCAGGGAAAAGGCAGATATCAGTGAAATAAATAAAACAGCAACTTGAGAAATTCAGTATTTAGAGAACTTATTCTGGGATTATAGCAGGGAAAGAAGCCATTGATTTTTAAATCTTTCACCCTACTTCTATCTATGGCTATAATTTAAACTTGAGCGAAGTAGTACTACAATTGCATGTTTTATGTGAAACGAAATTTGTCCATCTTTCTCATGCTCACCTGCTACTCAGGGTCCTTTTTCAGATTAAATGAAAGACAAAGTTCTAGGTATCTGGAGCTTCTTAAAAACCTTTCCAGATATTACCTCAATACTTGCTTTTCCTGAAATGCATGTAATTAGAAGAACATAAGGGGTTTTAACTTTAGCTCATTGAATGCTATTCCTTGACTCCTTGCCTCAGACAGAAACTTCACTTAGCAGATGTTCAAGATCTTCCGAATACCAGCACAAGCTAAATCTGCCGTTTTCTTGCTTCTTTGGGGGATCCAAGTTCTCGTATTTAATTTCCAGCAGACTGTTCCTTGCTTTTGTAACAACATGTTTGAAATAATTAATATGTGCACACATTCCTCTTAGCAGACATGTATTGTTGCGGCCTTGTCAGGCTTGAAGCTTAGGCTACAGTATGGCCATGTTTTGCTGCTATGCTTTGTATTGTTGCCTTAACCTCTGTGAAAAGTGGGGAAACTTGAAAGAGCATTTTTAAAATGGAAAAAAAAGAGTTAATAATGAGCTGTGCCGTGCCTGCTTCCTTTTCCACAATGTAGACAATCAGCACATGCTCAGTGATGCCATTAAATGAATGTTTAATTTATTTTAGCAATAAAATTATTTTAACGACCTCTGTTTTCTATAGAATTTATTGAGTGTTTTTATGTGTATCTTTATTTATTGAATTTATAAAGCTGCCAAATTCATAATTTATTGCTCTGGGCAGCAGATAAAAGTAAATATCCAATAAATATAAAACCAGCATAATAAACTCCACCAATAGAGAGATAATCAAGGCTGAAAATAATAGCAACAGCACTTAGACTTATATACAGCTTCACAGTGTGTTACAGCCCTCTCTAAGTGGTTTACAGACAACATATTGCCCCTAACGATCTGGCTCCTCATTTTACCAACCTTGGAACACTGAAGACAATCTTGAGCTGGTGAGAATCGAACTCCTGGCAGTCAGCAGAATTAGCCTGTAATACTGCATTCTAACCATTATGCCACCATGGTTCAAATAAACACTCTTCTCATAATTGAATGGGTTCAATTACCATCTTGGCCCAAGACATAAGACAAAAGCATCTCTTCTCAGCTTTCCAAAAAGGAGTAGGATCAGAGTGCCTTCATATCAGGGGTGGGGAAGAAGCTCATCCAAAGAGCAGATGTTTCAACAGTAAAGATATGGAGTCTAGGTCCCATTAGGTAACTCTGCCTCAGGGGACCTGAAGCATGTCTACTTTGGGCAGCTGAGTTGGATGAGCAGATGGGCTCATATCCTGCACATAACTCAGCCCTCAGAGCAAGGGAGGAATTGCACTACATTTTCATTACAGCTGTACATTTCATTTATCACTTGGCAGCCCTTGTTATTAGAAAGAACGAGTTTGCAGTTGTATATTGATTTCATCCATTTAATAACCTTGAGTGAGAAAACACTCAGACATTTGTCTGCAAGCAGTCAACCAAGAAATTCAGAGAACACCAAGGATTCCATGTTGATCTCTGTTGCATGTATATATATATCTTTATTTTAAGTAATGAAAGTGTGAGGGTATGCTGTTCACATTTTCCACTTCTAGTTACTTTCAGGTAATTAGCCTTCTATAGCTGTATGGTCTTATTATTTTCAGAGGATTGATGAAGAGGAAATTAAAACCAGATGCCAGACACTTTTTGTGTAAAAATGAATGGTTTCATACGGAGATCATTATATCGATGACTGATTAGCATCAAAGCTTTACTCTCACAGTAATAACACACTTTCTCTGCTGAGCTTTACTGATCTGGGTCCTTCCACATAAATGGGGACTACAGTAATTCTCATTAGTATAGATATTGGCAGGTTTTAATTGTTTCAGAGGTGTTAACTTCAATGGTAAGTTGTTTCCGTTTTCTGGAAAATTATTTGAATCTGTACTTTGTATCGCTGCTTGATGTGTTAAAATTAGTAATATGGATTTCTATTCCAATACTTGATACTCATGGAAATTACCACTACAGATGTGAAACCTCTTCATCAATGGTAGTATTCAGCCGGTTTGCACTGGTTCAATCGAACCGGTAGCAAGGATTTGGCGTGGGTCGCCGAACCGGTAGTAACTTCTGGTTGGCCACACCCCCAACCCGGTCACCTGGTCACCATTCGCTCGCTTGCCCCGATGCCCAATGCTAGCTCATCCCGTCCACCTGGTGCTCGCCCACCCAGCCACTCCTTAAGGTATTTTTTTTTACCTCCTGACAATCAGCTGTTCCTACGAATAGCTGTGCCAGGATTCTCCTCACTTCTTACTGCTTTGCCCAGGAGGCTTGCCTGAAGCCCAGGAAGACAAAAAATGGAAGGAGGGGGCACAGCTCCCTTCCATTTTTTGCCTTCCTGGGCCCCAGGAAAGCTTCCTGGGAGCAAAAATGCCCCCCAAGAGGCTCCTCTGAGGCCAGAAAGGCCCCAAAATGGAGCATGGAGTGGTGGTGCGCACCTCTCCTATGTTCCGTTTTTTTTCTTCCTGAACCCCAGGGGAGCTTTCTGGGAGCAAAAACACCTGAGGTCAGAAAAGCCCCAGTGGGGGGTGGGGGGGTGCTGCCAAAAAAAGCCATGCCCACCCAATCCCATGGCCACACCCACCTAGCCATGCCCAGATAAGTGGTAGAATTTTTGAATCCCACCACTGCTCTTCATATGGTGGCTTCATGACTAGTGTGCTGCATCTTAACATATGATGTGGTCAACTAATAGAAGAAGCTGATGTCTACGTAAGCCAAGGAACACATTGATCCTTAGTCTAACTGAAGTAGTCAAGATGACCACTCCAGATTACTTTCTCTCTATCTTATATCTTTATAAAATCTTTCCGTTAATCCTGAAAATCAGGAGATTTTCTGGAAAGAGATAGTTAGAACTGCATTTGTGATATATGGTATGCCATATATTCAAATGATCTCAACTGCTAAGTAGAGTTGATGATCTATAGACGCGTGCAAACCAAACATCCTAGACAGAACACAGCTTCCCCATTTTAAGCATACATCCCCAATTTCTTCTCAGCAGAGGTGACCCAGAGAACATTAAACTCATTATGAGGACAGCCTTTTTCTGCAGGCATTGCTTTTGTTGCCTGTGTTCCGCAACTTCTTTTACTACAAAATACAAGAACTCATATGTTCACAGCTTATTATTTGGAGAAATCTTATTTTCACTTAGCAGGTTTCCACTAATTCAAGAGGCCTTTTCAATCCAAGCTGATGTTATTTGAAAAGGAAAAAGTAGAAGCAATTTGAAGATGTTTGCTTCTGGGTTTTTGTTTTTGTTTTAGCAAGGAAGATGGGCATAATAAGTTAAAGTTGCTATTACATTTGGCCCCATCGCTATTTTCATAAGTCCTTCAAAACTTAATTGTGCCAAAAGGCCTGGGGGCTCTTAAGGGCATTGTGAGTTGTTGAAGTAGTTTCACTGTTAATATTTGTTGCTCTCTCTTTGCCTTGTAATAATATTAATGGTTTTAAATTATTTTATAGTTTTTTATTGTATGCCATCCTGAGTCGCATTTTGTGAGACGGACAGCCATATACTGTAAATATGATGAATAAATATTTTATGTCACTTCTGCATCTTGTAAGAATTGGCACATTTTGTTCTTCAGTGCCAGCAACACTGTATGAAAGTTTGCTGGTTTTTTTTTAAAAACTGGCTCTCCCTTTCTAGGAAGATTTTTAATCTCTCTCGTTCTCTCTCTCTTTTTTAATCAAAGCCCCATCAGAAGAAATACTGTTGTATAAGTACACAGGTTGATAGACACAGTGCTACAGTGCCATGCAAATCCAAGGGACTTTGTCCTTGTAAATAGATTCAAAGTGGACAAGGAATAGATTCAAACTGGACAAGAAATATTTGTCACCAGTGTTGGCTAAAAGCCCAAGATGTGTTGTATTGTGTACATTAGTTCCTATGGAGATGTGGAGAAGACCTTCAGCCAACAGCACTTCTGGCTTTTCTCAGAAGGGAAAGATCCATCAATTCTTAAGGTAAAGTAGTAGATCTACCTGTGATATTATTTATTTGTTCAAACATGTGAATGGATAGATAGGATATTGAGGGGTCGGGGTGTGTGTGTACTGTGTGTGCTGTGTTTCAGAAACTGCAGAATTGATATTCTCTTAGACTAAAAATAACAAAACATGTCATAATACTGAATCCTAAGACTGATGCACAAAAGCTTAATTTGTAGTATAATTCTAGAGGTTAATAGGATTCAAATTAATTTCAGAGTGCAACTGTTTCCCTTAAAATATAAAAATTAACCTAGCAAAAGGAAAGAGTGAAAATAAGATCAAAACTTGGAACATTAGAGGGGGAGGAAAATTTTACCTTTTTGCTTTTCCAGTGAACATTATTAAGCTTTAATCTCACTTCTGTCTTTCTTGTGTTGAGGTATCACCATCTTTTTCCCCTGAACCACAAAACCCACAACGGAGCTTTTGAAAAGAAAATGTGTATGTTTTAATAAGAAACTAATAGCTTAGTATTTGATTTCTCCCCTTCTGCACATAGATATTGGTAGTAGCCACAGATTTATTCCCTGCATTTTAACCCCATGTTTTAAACAGTTGTTCCCCCAAATAGTTTGTATAAGAATGGAAAGAGTCCATGTACGCAGTCTAGAACAAGAGATCCAAAGCTCCTCAGCTCATTGACCCTGATATTTCATTTTTAAGAGATTCAGAAAAAAGAACTATAATATTTCTAAAGCAAATTAAAGATAGAAAAGGTGAACAGGGATTTCTTCAGATATATAGTATGTAGATCTCACCCAGTAACATCAGATAGTACAAATTTTTGTCCAGTTACTAATACTGATGATAAATTAAAATACCACAGTTTGTCATGTGGCCAAATCATCATAATGCAAATTAATTGATGTTGGTGTCTCACTCAATATGGATTGATGGGGATCCAAGTAATATTTGGGGAATGCAGCGAAAGATAATCATACAATATGTAAAGTGTCTATCTGCTCATTCTGATAAAGTTACTAATCTCTAGAGATTACCCATGAGGTAGCATTTCCAGTTCCAAATTCATACTTCAACCCCTTCTGCACATTATAGCCCCTCCCACAGCTTGCACAAACAATACCTTTTTTGGTAGGGGAACAATGGGTGTCAGATTACCTGTCAGATTACAGAAGGCCAATATGTATTTATTTATTTCATTTATATCCAGCCTTTACTATTTTTACAAACAACTCAAGGCAACGAACATATTCAATACACATTTGCCTTCCTATTTTCCCCACAACAACCCTGTGAGGCGAGTTGGTCTGAGAGAGTGACTTCCCAAAATCACCCAGCTGGACTGCACAAATCAATCCAAGTGTTTTGTTTTTGCCAATATTAATACATAACATTAATAGCATAAATATGAAATGCCACATTTCTTATTTTATAATGAGATCAATATTACAAAAATTGATAGAGGGTACCCAGAATAATTTTTTTAAAAAAAACTAAAGACACAGGTATTTGGCTTGTTTTTAGAGGTTTTGATTAGGATATAGATTTTAGCTGAATTTAGACCTCAGTATTTCCTCTTGAGCATGAAAGTTACACCATTATTCTGTTTCT